CATCAAGTGCTAATATCGAAATACAACATCATTAACAAAAAGCAGCTAAACCTTTTTCTCGTTCTCCTCTGATCAGAGCTCAATTGGGGAATATGAACAGTGCCTAAAATAAATACCAAATAGCACACAGTAGGCATTCGTTTATCTTGCGATATAAAAATAGTGACTTGTTTGTTCAAAATTGTATCGTTTGGCGGCAAGACTGGGGTGACCTCTCTAGGCTGCAAACTTCATCAATGGTATATGGAGTTTGTTCCATGCCCAGATTACATACTCCCTCCCCGCCTATAGCCGTAAAGACAATATCCAAATGAATACAAGTTATTATATTTAGGAATAGCTTCGCTGCACGATTTGCCTATATGTCTTCAGTGTTGACAACAAACCCCTTCGGTGCTCTATCCAGATTTTCTGTCTGGATTTACTTCCACTGTCTTTTTTTGTGTTTGGGTACAACGGCAAGGCAGTGGAGGTTTTAAATCAGGTTGTCCTTCCCCTAGATGGACTGGCTTCTTTGGCTGTCGAGATTCATGCAGTCTTTTGCTTTCGCCCATTCTCCAGCTTGGAACTGGTCTTCATTCTCAGAGGCTATTTTATAGACAGTGAAATATTGACCCACTATCACTCCCGTCCACAACATGGGCGATGTTATATGGTGTCTGTTCTTTGCCCAGACGATATGCCCCTACATCGCGTATCGGCCGTGGCGACAAGATCCAAATAAATACAAAGGGGATTTAGGGATTCTTGACCGCAGGATTTACAGGAATATTGTCAGTGTTGACAAACACCACCTTCACGGCTCCATCCAGGTATTCTGTCTGGATTTACTTCTATAGCCTTTTTCGTGGTTGGATACAAATACAAGACAGCGGAGGTTTAAAATCAGGTTTTCCTCCAACTAGATGGACTGCCTTCCTGGGTAGTGGCGCATATGCCACGGAGGCATTTTATTGACGGTAAGAGCTTTTCCACACTATCACCACCGTCTATGATTACCTTTGGAACATATATAATGTAATTATATAAATATTACATAAATAACGTGTTTTAGAAGCTCTTAAAATTAATGGTTTTTAAATATAGAAAAAGCTAGGTAAAAAAAAATACAAAATAGTACATAAAATGCAGAAATATCCAAATGTTAATTTTAGAAAAGATAGCAGAAACAAATATATACATATGCAGGAAGAAGTGCAGAAGGATGACACGACCCTCGTTGTTCTCAAATACTACAGACCATCCCAGAAGACGCAAACTTGGTGTACATCTGTTAATATCTGAGTGACGTCCGTACAGAGCTTACTCTCATGTCATCTATTCATTTAGCAGACATCTCTTCAGTATCTGTACCACTGTTGTTGGCCGCTACTCACAAGAGCATTACATGGCCTTTTATTAAAATTTTCTGTATTAGATTAGAAACGTCATATTAATACTCTAAATACGTCTGAAAACGATGGAGAACATTAATAATTGATGTACTCTGTATAAAGTCAACTTTCATATAAGGCTCACTAAAATGTGTTTTTAAATAACTGACGCCATTTTTGTGTCAAAAGTAATGTTGAAAAACATAATTAAAACTACCAAAATTATCAGAATGAAAGGTAAAATGTGTACAAATCAATGACTTCATTATTTAGAAAAATAAGAGTGTCTTAGTGAAATTTTCATGCGTGATTGCTTGGGTTAACATTTAACGGTCTAAACTTTGCAATTGTTGAAGCAGCTTAATCTTTTTTTTTTTTTTTTTTTTTTTGTCATCAATGATTCCTATAAGATCGGAATCCCGTAAAAGGTTTTAATTCTCTGGTGTGTGAAAATACGTGCAGGACACAGAATTAATTATAACGGAAAAAATGTAAGCCGAAGGCATATCAGGCAGGTGAATAAACTCCTGTTATCTTATTGACTCGCATTACACGAAAATTGCCTTCCACTTGCGATAAAAGCGAAAATAATTCTCGCCCTTGGCAAAGAACTGGAAGTAAATATCTTCTAGTAAGGCGTATAAGGATTTATTAGGCTCCCCATGATTTATCGAAAAAGAAGTTGAGGCCGGATTCATTTAAGATAGAAAAGAAAAGTAAAGAAACTTATTAAATATGTTAATGTTACACAATACCGAAATTTACAAAGTTTAACCGATTTCTGGGAATTTTTAATGACGTCGAGGCACATGTACTGCCGGTAAAGTAGCAATGGTTTATCTATGGAAAACCTGACGAATCCCATCTCTCTTCAAGCAACCGAGGACGAGCTATGTAAAATTCAGAGTAGTAATAAAAAATCTTATGACGTGAATGTTCTAAGTGGAAAGAGTTTACCTGTAAAATCAATACTCGATATTTTCATTTTTAGCTAGGCCTCGAATATTGACCCATGACACCAATTTTTAAAATTCTAACTCTCTAAATCACTATATTATGGTTAATATGTTGTTAGCAACTTGACATGTTTACGCGTTTCTTTTGATGTGGATGGACGTGTATGTGTGCGTGTACTTATCGTATAGCTTAGTCAGACCGTATGCATGTTTACGTCACATTTACAATATTTTAATAAAAATCTCACCATTAACGCAAATAAAATTTTCGTCCACCAATATTCACTCCGTCATTTGTGCTATATCAAATTATGTTTAATCAATTAAATCTGTTTGGTAGCTGAGATAGTTGCGGTTTTACCATTCTAAAAGCCCATACTATATTCTCATAGCAAAGTAGATTCCGATTATATCCGGTTTATGTTATGTTAGACAAGTTTATAAAATACTAGCAGTAGAGATTATTGACAAAGACAAAGATTATTGTTTAAGGTTGACGGACACGCATGCCTTAGTTTTTTTTTTTTTTTTTTTACGAATTGGTCAAACTCAAACAAAAACATTGTTTTCAATCGTTATGAGTCTCTACCGATTGAATAGAATTTTATTATAAACAAATGTCTTGTAAATGAAATTTTTAAAGCATTCTGAATGTAAAAATAAAGAAAAAAGTGGGCAAGACGATAAGAAACACTACATGCCAAAAAAAAAGTGAAGTTTGGTTGAAATCGGTTGAAAAATGTAGGTAGTCTTTCTGTAATCTTTTAGTTTTACAATTTATGATTTTTAACTTATTGAATACAGTAAAAAAAAATGCATATTTTGCTTGTGGTGATTCATAATTAGAATTCTGATTTAAATATATTTTCCACTCGTTGTTTCTAATACAAAAAATATTAACTTTATTTGGGTTTATTAATTAACAAATTTTATTCATTTAGTAGTCTTTCTGTAATAATCTTTTACAATTTATGATTTTTACTTATTGAATACAGTAAAAAAATTGGACACCATGTGTATTTAAAGTAGTTTCCCGTTCCGTTTATTATTTTTAGTTAGGACTTGGGTATGTTTAGATTTCATTATCTTTCCCTAAAGATAAAGAATTTGTTTGTATTCGTACAATCAGTAGAGATCGTTAGATTATTGTTTAAGGTTGACGGACACGCATGTCTTAATTATTTTATTTTTTTTTTTTTTTTTTACGAATTGGTCAAACCCAAACTCAAAGAAAAACATTGTTTTCAATCATTATGAGTCTACTGATTGAATAGAATTTTATTATAAATAATTGTCTTGTAAATGGAATTTTTAAAGCATTCTGAATGTTAAAAATAAAGAAAAAAGTGTGCAAGAGAATAAGAAACACAACCTGCCAAAAAAAAAGTGAATTTTAGTTTTATCGGATGAAAAATATAGGAAATCCGCTCCCATATTTAAAGTAACCCACACACACAACCCGATGTGAGTTGTCCCCCTTCCATTTTCACGATGTCTCTTAATCGTGCTTTCAAATTGATTTTGTGCAAAAACAATTATATTTTTCCCACTTTTGGCGCTGTTATAACCACCACAATGTAATTTTATGTAGTCCTGTGAAGTTTTGTTGAAATCGGTGGAAAAATGTAGGAAATCCGATCCAATATATAAACGTTACAGACACACACACACACAATCTGCGTTTTATAATAAGTAAGATACCTGCTTAAGACAGAATATATCCCATCCTTTCCCATGTAATAAGGTGTATATTATTGAATTTTTCGTGTACACTCATTTCTCGATGCCTATCGATTTTGGTCAAAATTATTTAAGTGTTAATTTTTAGTATTGATCCCTGTTTCTTTTTGTGTGCACTCAAAAGTCCACAATTTGTAAACAGGTTTGTATATTCCAGAGAACTCGGTTTACTTCTCTGTATTAACTGAACAGTTTATTTTTAGAATCATTTTTAACTTATTACTGTTGAATAAGATAATAACAGCCATTATTAAACACTTGTAGAGTGGAGACGTCTTATATCCATTCTAGTTATTATCATTGTAATAAGAGTCTTAATTAGATTAAGTAGGTATAGTTTAGAGGATTATTTTATATCCCGAAGTATGAAGTAGGCTTCTCTCATTCATATACATCTTATTTTGAACTTGCCTGAACTCTAAAGATCTATATTATGGGAGGGACTTAGTCTGGGCTGCACCGTCACAGTTCTAATACAAGGCACATAATTTTTTAACTTCTAAATTATGCAAATTAAAAGAATGATGTAGCATTGATTTCATCATTCTTTCCCCCAGGTTTATTTGGCCAGCTGCCATTGCAATCTAAGCGTAAGAATTATCGTTATTATATTTTACTGATGTATGATGGCAATATTCGAGCCTAGATTAAAGCTAAAATCTCGAATGTTACTTTTCAATGCTAGTCAGTGCTCATTAACTTCAAATTATTATACTAATATTAATTAACCCTTTATAATTGCTATGACTATGCCTAAGTAGCAATTTTTAATTGATAATATTAAGTCTTTAATAATATTAAGACAGAATTAAGTTTGTTTTTTGGTATCATACTATTTATCTACTGTATAATATAATGACAAATGGCATTTAAAATAAAGTGAAAAAAAATTAGACATTAGCCTCACTAAGACAGAAATAGGTTCAGCCAGATGGCATATGTGGCAAATAATAGAGGG